TTTCATGTCATTAGCACCTCTAGTAATATATTTACTGAGAAAAATGTTGGCGTGTTCAATACTTATTTTACCCGCAAGTATCCACCTTTTTGGAGTGACTGTCTGAAGGGTTCACATTTTAAAAACAAGAGGAAAAATAAACTAAATATTCAATATTCTTTTCAAACTAGGACTGATACTGTGGCTGAAGCAGCAACTCTWACAGTTTTTGCTTTAACAGAATTCTCATTCAGGATGCTAAAAGCTTGTTACGGTTTGTACTCTCCGAGTTCTTCTAGTTAATGTTTTTTCCTAAATGTTTTGGACTGGAAAAGACAAAGTGGTGGCTGTGGAGCAATGGGCAGCTGATTCAGGATGGGAAAGTTTCAAGTTTGATTCTCCAACATACCCAAATATCAGGGACCCAAAGGTCCCTGTTGCTCAGCGTGGTGAATCTCACATGTGTAATGAGTCAAATGTAAACAACAAATGTCATGGACACACACCTACAAGGAAGCCAATACTCAACATTTCACTTCAAACTATTAAAACATTTCTGCTTTCAATGAGTTTTACACTAAACAAAATTAAATTAAAAACATTTCATTTTAAGCTCATAATCCTACAGAATTCTATTGTTTTCCCTCTTTCCATAAAACGTACAATTGGTCAAAACACTTTACGTCTGGTAAGAAATGARTTTAGTCTGTTGAGCAAACCAAGCAGATTTGAAAACATGCCCACAAAGCATACAGTTCCTCACCTTTTCTGGCAGAGTGAAAAGAAAAGGCAGAAAAACGAGTGGCGCCAGCAGAAGGAGCAGCTGTTTGTGGACGCACCACAGCTTCTTGGACAGAACGGATATTTTCATCCCCTGAGTGAAGTTCAGCTTCGTTTGGGTCAAATAAACGCCTGAATGGCTGCGAGGAGGYTTTTAGGGAGAACTTTGAAGCCCGGGGCTGAGCACAGCGAAGATTAACCACATGCTTTGCTACAGGTTAACTCCTCCTGCCGTRGTGTGACACAGGATGGTCAATTTTCTGTCTGTTTCCAACAGGCAGGCCTCTCCCTCACAGATAAGATAGGTCATATCCTTAGAGGTAGCTGGAAGCACATTCTGACAGGCTGCAGCAGAGAGAGAGAAAAAACTTTCAGGGAACGTAAATGATTCRTAAAATAACTGAGTTACTACATGCTTTTATTGATTCTTTGAAGACACTGTTAATGTTACACAATCATGTAGAAAAAAAATTAAACGTTGTAAGAATGAGTTTCTGCAGTTAAAATTATGTCCCTGCAGAGATTTAGAGATTGCATGCTAAAAATATTAAAGTAAATAACTCTTTGTGTCAGTAGTTCTCGTACGGGTCATAGTATTTCGCCACCTTAAAACTTTGGAAGCAACAACAGTCTTGTCAGTCTGAGCAAAATAAATCCATCCTCCCAATCAATGGTCCTAAAGGAATATTCCAAAGTCTGCTCCTCCAATAAAGGAACTCCAGTTTAGGATAATTCCACCTTAATAAAATCTTTGGGTGTCACAGTTGAGCAACAGCAATACAAACAAAAAAGGGACAAAACCAAAAGTAAAACCTACTTTTCAGTAATCCAGATATCTGTATCCTGTCTATGCCAGGAATTACTCATCCCTTACTTTGTGTGTCTTTTTAAATATTGGATGTGCCTTTTTTTTTCTTCAGTGGAGGAAAAACAAGAACTTTGCTCTAACAAAACCTCACATATACAACCTCGCAGTGAGTCCAGTCGTCCCAGCTGTCACAACAAAAAGCTCATGAGAATGAGACGTAAGGGACACACAAAAAAAGGCAGGAATTTCAAAAAAGATCACAATTATGTTCCCAAAATGTTTCTGACTGCATTCATATTTAACACATTTTTAAAAGTGAATGCAATAATGGTTTTAATGTACTATTAAAAACACAGCTTAATTCCTGAAATCCTGTCATCTGGTGTTTGACTGATAAATCAAATTTTGATAAATCTCCATCTGAACGTCCAATTCTGGCTATCTTTCTCCATTTCTAAAACCTTTTGTACACAAATAAAGTAGTTGATGTCGTAGACATTTCAGTTTTAGATTTATGTTTTTGGTTTTCTTCAGTTTTATTGTTTTATTTTGAAGGGTGCTTTTTATGTGATTTGCCTGTTTACTGCCCCTCGTGGCCCCACATTTGTGATTGTGTTGGATGTTTTCACCTGCAGAATGTAAGGACATGTAAACCTTTGTGTGTGTGGAAATTTGTTTTTCCAGAGAAGCTGTTTTACAACTATTTCCAAGTTAAAGTTAGTGTGGAACATCAGATTTGTTCAAAAGTCATTCAACACAGAAACAAGAAATTAAAGAATTGTTAGAGAATGAATTGTAAATTTTACCTTGTGTTTTGAAAGTTTTTTCCACCCATAAACAAAGTTGCTTTGTCAAACCCAGCTTTTTCCATCTACATCTGTTTGCTAGATGTCTTCCTAATATCTGTAAACTGAGTACACGGTTCCTAATAACTGTGTGTCATCCATCCATCCATCCATCCATCCATCCATCCATCCATCCATCCATCCATCCATCCATTATCTACTGCTTGTTGCAGATTTGAGTTGCCGGAGGCAGCAACTTGAGAAACAGGAGGCCCAGACCTCTTTTTCCCCAGCCACCTAGTCCAGCTCTTCTGAGAGAACTCCAAGGTGTTCTCAGGACAATCGAGAGATATAATCTCTACAACGTGTTCTGGATTTCTCCTCCCAGTCTGACATGCCTCAATCACATCCAGGAGGCATCTTTACCAGAAGTCTGAACCACCTYAACTGGCTCCTTTCAATGTGGAGGAGCAATGGCTCTTTTCTTAGTCTCTCCTGGGTAACTGAACTTCTCACCCCAWCCAAGAAATTCTGTCCATRAAAGTTMAAAACAGAATCTGTGACAATGAGTAGCCTAAGYGGAGTCCAACTCCCATTCTGAAGGGGTCTGACTCCTGTAAATCAAAGAGAACTCATGCACCACATGGACAGGGACTGAAGTGCCCATAAAAAATGACCCACAACCCTATACNCACACACACACAGTGTACCTCAAGAAGCATGGTTGAACACCTCCATGTTCACTAAACACTTGCTGACTGGATGAATAAACTCCCAATGTCACCTCAAGGACCCTAATCAGGGTAAAGAGTTGATCCAGTGTTCCATGGATGCATTGTTCCTCCTTAATCTGTGGCTCAACAATCGATCAAACTTTTTTCCAGAACCCTTAAATAGACCTTAYTGGGGAGGCTAAGGAGAGTGATGCCTCTGTAATTGGAACAAGCCCCCACCCCCATGTCCACAAAGTATTGCAAAGGCGTGTCAACCTAAACAGCCCCACAACATCCAAAGCCTTGAGGAAATCRGGGCAGATTTTGTCCACCCCCAGAACCCTGCCACTGAAGCTTAACTACCTCGGGGACTTCAGCCCCGGTTATGAACAAACCAACCCTGAAATMTCAGGACTCACTTCCTCCATCAAAGGTGGRATTGAGAAGGTCYGAGAAGTATTTCTTCCACCTCTGGATGACATCACTGGTTGAGGTCAACAGTGCCCCACCTTCATTGAACACAGTGTTAGTAAATTATTTTTGCGGCAGCATAATGAAGAAATTTATTGGGGTGTTTRCTACTGACTTTTAAAGACACTACACATTGTATAGTCTTTTATTAGGTGAACAGTAATGTTTTTTTATAATATTGTTGTATAAAATTTGAACTGATGATTTTATGTGCAGACAGATTAGTGGGACTCTTGATCAGGGTTTCACAGAGTCATGAGGTTTTTAGTTAGATACATGCCTGATTTAAAACAACATATATGAGAACCGTGATTAAACATTAGCATGAGGAATAATGTCTGACATCTTGACTCCTTTAGAGACAGCCTGCCCCTTTAACATTTATGTCATGAGGCAGGGTCAGGATGCGAAGAGGTTTGTTACTTGATGTGTTTTTCCTGGTTCTGGTCACTGTTTAGCTGATGCCTGTTGGAGGCAGATTAAAACAAAAGCTAATCAGTCCACAGCTGTGTCCGGATGGTTTTGTATRGCTCACTCAAACATTCACATTCACATGCCATTATTATTAACTGGTGTTAGATCTGAACAGGTAAAGGGTAAAGAACATTGCTTATTTTTTAACAATATGGTGTTATCCAAACTTAATTCTTCAGTTTCTCCCATATGGGGACCTTATTTTTGAAACTGACAGTTAAGGTGTCATTTTAGCTACAAATGTTKCTGGTGGCTTTGTCCTCATTCTCTATCACCCAAATCAAATCAAAGTAAAACACATTTAACACAACTATCACTGGTCAAAGTGATGCACACAATACAAATAGTAAGGGGTGCGTGTGGCAATTCTGGCTGCACTAATGTGCAGCTATAAAAGTATATAAATAAAGAGATAAAGTAAAGAGATTCTTATTTTAGTTTGATAATAATAGGTGCCACCATTCAAATGAATGGAAGCAAGATTCATTCGATAAGTCAAGCCCTATTTTTTTATAAGTGAAACCATTGGCGTTTGGTATAAACATATTTTTAATAGGCTGTAAAATAAAATAAAAAAGCACAAACATAATAAACCCAGTCCCTGCTGTAATTTTGTCTGGCAGACATGGTGCTGTGTGTTGATTTACCAGCAGATGGAGATCTGTTCACATTTTATGCTCAGAAGTCTGACTGCAAACCCATCTTCACAGAAGTGAACATGGTTCACTAGAACCCGGATCTTTCTTCTAACTAAGCCTGCGGTGAACTGGATTTTYAGTTCTTGTGATTTAACTTTAGGAGAAGTGAAAGTCAGAATTGACAGGACTGAGCAGAGCCTTTCTGTGTCCTCTGACCAAACTCAGCCATAAAATGTTTCACACATTCAAAAGTAAAAACTGTGCAATTCAGAAAGTGTGTAATACTAAAAAATGTTTAACTAGGTTTTTGTTTCAAAGTTGGGGTCAGACATTTACATACAGTACATTATGAGCATGAGTGTCATCAATTGTAGCTTTAATGATTTTCTCGTAYCCACACAAGGTCAAATTTATCCATACAGGATCAAAAATATACATTCACCTAAATATTTTTATAAGAGATGATGAAGTTTTAAGGGTGTTTTTTAAACTTAACAATTTTTAGGCCTAACTTCTCTATTGTTATCATTATTGACAACAGCTGGTAGTTTTTCCTCATCCGCATACAAGTAATTTGTTTGACAACACTTATTGGACTGACAATTCTCATCCTCTGGATGAGAGAAAATGTGGGACGGACGTTAGAGGAACAACGTAGGAACCACAAAGGTTCTCTGTTCAAAATGAATACAGTTTACGTTGCCATGGACTGAGATGGTGCAGACCATCGACATAAAAAGTACAAACGCATCGTTGCGTCTTTTGTTATTTATATTTATTCATTCATTTTCAGCTGTTTTCTTCTGTCGGAGTTGCCACAATGAGCAAACTTGTGAAGGAAATTTATTCTGCTTACTACTGATTTTTAAATGCATCACACACACAGTTTTTTTTTTTTTACCAGAACTAGGGTATGTTCTGATAACTTATTTTGCAAAATAATATCTTTTTGTGTGATTTAGCGATGTACAATCTGCTTTGAGTGGCTCAAAACAGAGTGTGCTCTTTCAATATTATTAGTTATTACACACCTGAAGCAATACAGCACATAAATATTTTAACATTAGAACTCAGTTTTCTGTTTTCCAAGGGTTTCTGGTCACATGGTAGGAAGASCACCCAATTGATGTGACAGCTTGCCCCTAGGGAGTGGCCAGAACCGAATGAGAGTGTATACAGGTCCTTCTCAAAAGAATTAGCATATTGTGATAAAAGTTCATTATTTTCTGTAATGTACTGATAAACATTAAACTTTCATATATTTTAGATTCATTGCACACCAACTGAAGTAGTTCAAGCTTTTAATTGTTTTAATATTGATGATTTTGGCAAAAAAGTAAAGAAAAATAAAAAATCTCTATCTCAAAAAAA